AGCCGCTTTTACTTTTTCTGGACTGGTATTCCTTTCAATTCTTTTTCCTTTTTGTATTTTTGGCCTGAAATTCCAAATGTAATGAACATTATTCAATCATCCTTTTTTTAACCACCGAGAATTTTTTTTTAATTTACAATTTCACAGATTTTTTTTTTTTAAACTGGGTAAACGTCAAAGTTTAAACCTCTCTGTTTTGCAGGTCCATTTTCTAGGTTAATCTCATTAGTATGTCTAGATAAGGCATAATATTTGTGTCAGAGAAAGGAAGTCAGCATGCTCCAGTATCTTAAGAAAATTACATTTTCTGAAAGCGAGTTGGCCTCTATCTAATCGCTGTAAGACACCTTTTTTTTCCTAGACAACCAAACACAAATTGGCTGATCCCTAGAAAAAAAATAACTCAAGGGTCAGAGAGGAAGGTTAGAGTTTAAGTAAAATAAAACAACCTGAAAAACACTTAATCACCCAAGTTACCAGCAATCGGAATAGACAGGAAGTAAATGAACATGTCATCCAGATTCAAATAGTAGAACTAAAGGCCAATATTTAGAAATATATAATTTCTTGGATAAAAATATCAAAGCTCAAATTCTAAGCCAAATTGCCTCATGCCCATCATGGTCTCTTGTAGAGTTGACAGGAGAACAAAAGAGGGGGTGCTGCTGAGAAGGATCCACAACTTCACTGGAGGGAACCTCGTGCCGCAGAGTATGAAAGAGCAAAGACATTAGATAAAGTTGTGATGCTTGGCTGTGGATTTCCCTGTGTTGATTTTTATGATGCCTGCTGGCTGAGTCGGAGTGGGGGGTGACAGCTGGTAACTTGGTGGGGTAGGGGGTGGCAGTGCAAGCCAGGACCAAGAAGAAGACTCAAGAACAGACCCTAGAACAGATGTGAGCTGCTGGAACAGCCCCATGTGATCCAGCAGGGTCCTGACAGCCCTCGTCATTAACTGCATGAGTAGAGAAAAAAGGGCTCTGGTCTTTTTTATTTATTTTTATGTGGGCTTTTTGGGTCTCTTTTTTTATTTTTATTTTAAAGATTATTTTTTTATTTTAGAGAGAGAGTGAGTGCAAGCAGGGGGAGGGGCAGAGGGAGAGAGAGACTCTCAAGCAGACTCTGCACCGAGTATGGAGCCCATCTCCGGGCTCGATCTCATGACCCTGAGATCATGACCTGACCTGGAACCAAGAGTTGGATGCTCAACCGACCGAGCCACCCAGGTTCCCCTGGTCCTTTTCAAAGTGAGTTTCTTACATTTCTTTCCTTCCCAGTGCTCGGGCATTTCCCCAGCCTATGTGTCACTATGTGTGTTCCTCTGAGAACGTTTGAGCACTTACCCTAATGCTAACACATTGTCATAGTAATAGTAGTCATCATACTACTAAAAGCAAATACTTATATTGTGTGCAGCCGATTTTCCAGTCCCTGTTCCAATTACATATATGAATGCCTCTCATCCTCACAGCCATGCCATGAAGCCAGCACAGTGGGGAGATCTGAGTCACAGAGAAGTTCAGTGACTTACTCAAGGGCACACAACAAGACTCACAGCTGGAGTAAGACACAGGATTGTAGGAATGCCTAACCTGTGCCTTCCAGATTGTTCGCTCAATTTCCGCTCATGGGGGGACGTGAGATGGGGGTACTGAAGGTGTGCAGCTGGGAAGATGTCCAGAGCATGTCTTGTTACAGCCCTGTTCTCGCCCACCCTAACACCACCCACAGTCTCTAGGGTCAAAAGGTGCCATCAGGATGGGAACGAGAAGTGCTTCCGCCCGGAGAGAGAGCTCACAAGGGTGTCCTGAATAGGAGAGCTGCCGTGGGGAGGGGGCCACCAAGGAAGAAGGGAAAAGTGGGGCTATCAGGTGGCAAAGAACCACCACTGAGTCAGTGTCTCATGAGCCAGGAGAAGAATCCTGAGAAGATCTAATATTCATGTGGAGATCATATATTTGTGAGCCCCGACTCAGGACACATGGTTTGAAACAGAGTCTGAAAATTTAGAATTGGGACTGTCCCCCAAATTCACTGACATTCTAGATACTGAGGCTCTTTTCAAGTCACTTGCTGAATGTTTGACTGCATTCAGCTGAGGAACAGGGTCACCTTGTAAAGGTGTGTGTGGACACACGTGTACGTGCAGAACCTCAGGTTCCAAAGGGCTCTGCAGCCACCAAAGCAAATAAATAACACTGGCTGTGAACTGCTGGACAGACCAGAACACGGCCCATTCATTAAACGGAGGTCTTTGGCTTGATATCATCCGCTATTTGACACCATACATTCAAACATCCCTGCTGCATCCCTATATATTTATTGAGAAAACAAAACTCCAACACTCAAAATCTTGCCTCATATGCATGGCACACCTCTCTGGCATTAGGGAACCTTCTGAGGGTTCTTTAATTAATTACAACAGAACAATAATCCTGCCCTCCCTCCCTCCGCTACAACAGCCTGAGGCTTCCGCAAGCCGCTTTCTGGATAGCTTTGTCTTCCGATAATAAGAGACACTTCAAAAGAAATGTCCCCCTCCGACATGGAGAAGAGCCAGGGGAAATTCCCTTCAGAACATCTCCCATAAATGCTTCCATTTCCTGAAACAGGAACAGGAGGCCACAAAAATGAACTTGGATGAAGCACTATGGTGGCATTTGTCACAATGCATTATAATCATTTATTGTGATTTTCTGGTTCGACTATAAGGGACTCCGTTTTAGCCAGCATTTTACAGAGTAGCGGGCACACAATAGATACTCTCTAAAATTTTATGAAAGGGATGAATGAATTCACTGCTCTTGACATGAATAAGGAATTTTAAGCTCAAGCGAAACAAACATGCACACACACACAAGGTACAAAACCAAAATAAAATTTTTACTTCATTGGTCATTAAGAAAATCAAATTAATAAACACGGTAGTTCTCACAGTTATGACAATAGTTCTTTCTGCAATCTTTCCCCTCTCCTTCCCCTCGAAAAAAAAAAAATCTGGGTTATAGCTTTTTTTTTTAAAGTAGGCTGCATACCCAGCATGGAGCCCAAAGGGGGCTTGAAGTCACAACCCTGAGTTCAAGACCTGAGCCAAAATCAAGAGTGGACCATTCAGCTGACTAAGCCACCCAGGTGCCCCTTTTAAAATTTTCTTTTACTATCAATAAACTAGGAAATTTACATTATGACTCTTCTTCCTTAGGGATAGTGAACTTTCAATGGGTGCTTACCCATGATAGGCCAACCCCTACACAAAAGGCATTGTTATCCATTCAACAGATGAGAAACTGGGTCTCAGAGAGCTGAAACAGCCCGCTCTTTGTCACACAGATACTAAGTGGTGAGGTTGTGATTCAAACCCCAAGAGCTTGCTTTCACCATTACAAATGACCTCTCCACCAGGTTCATAACCTTGCCTTTTTTAATCTCAGAGAAAAATTGAGCCAGAATCCTTACGAAATGGGGAGGGGTGGGGGAGTTGAGGAGTAATCAGGAGCAAGAACACAGTCTTGGAGGAAGCTGGCCTTACTAGGAAGCGTGGCATACAGTGAGACCCCAGGAGCTAGGGGCAATGGGTCGTTTATGGAAATGCCAGGCAGTGGTTTTACAAAGAGTGAATTTTAAACCTAGCCAGAAGGATAATGATATTGGGACCAATTGCTCCTGCTGAGCAAAAGAGGGATGATGACACAGAGCAGCACAGAGCTCCAAACCCAGTGAGTATCAAGATGAACAGAATTAGTAGGGCAGTGGGCTGTTTGCTGGCTGTAGGGCTTAGAAACAAAAGAACTGATGTCAGAAACTTTGAAAAGCCCTTTTAGCAGGGGAAGGGCACATGAGAAAAATCCTCTGGGAGGCAGAAGAAGTAACGAAAGCAATTGCAAAGGTGCTAAGACATACAAACTTCAACACTTCTTAAAAACCACAGCTTGGGGGGGTAGTCGGGTCTCCTGAGGGCAGCAGAGTCTGATTTGGTGGGTTTTGCCCAGTTGCTGTTGGACAGGGACAAGGGTGGATCTAGGCCTAGTTTAATTTTAGGAGTACCAAATGTAAGTCTCCAAAAGCTACCCCTAAAGCCTGCCACCGCATTAAGAAGTCCACCATTAGAATCGCATAGGACTCAGAAAACCGCTGTTTGGCAAACTCCCAAGAGTAGAAACACACTACATTGTTTCCAGTGTGGTACGGAAGTTTCCAAATAGAAAGTAAGTTGCCACAGCGATCGGACAAGACAAACAGTTTCTGCAAGAAGACATAAGATGTCCAAAGTACAGAGTGCACAGCTGTGCCTGAGCTAGGAGGAGACAGAAGAGAGACAATAGAGTGGGAGGTGGCATCATATAAATCTCTACTGCAGTCATCAGATGTGACTGTCGATGTGCCAAACACTCTTCTAGGCATTGGATATACGAAACGAGCAAAACAGGCAAAAATTCTGCCCCTCGTGTAGCTTATAACCAAGGAAAAATACTGGTAAATTTTTCTGACTTGACCATTTCCCTTTGGCTAGGTAATACCACGAGTGGGAAGTTCTTCACAGAGAGCACCAGTAATAACAGTAAAATAACAAATAAACTTGGTCCCACTTAAGCCAACAGGAGTCTGTTGGCTCTGTATTATCCCAGTTTCACCAGAGGAAACTAGGGTTAAAGTCCTGGGAAAGACAATGCAGCTATCAGGGACTGAGCTGGAATTACGTCTCAGCACTTGGTGACTAGAGAAGCAGCCCAGGGTGGAACATGGACTCGGGGATCAACGGAATTAGAACCGAGGTCTGCCTGTGCTGCTCACGCGACCTTGGGCGATTTATGTATTTTCGACTTCGTTCAGTGGGGGATGCATGTTTGGGATGATAGAACCTACTTTAAAGGGTGAAGAAAAAGCTAGCATGAAAAACGGAAGTGAAATTAGACCAATTCCTGGCATGTAGTAAGTGTTCAATAAATGAAAACTCTCATAACAACCAACAACAATTAATCCATGTTCTTTCCCTTTTCCAGTGCCTCAGACTTGTCCCCTGGACTGAACATCCACCTGAGGCTGCCAAGGCACAACCCTACCCTGCCCATCTCCCTCTGCTCCTGTAAGCCGTAGATGGGAAACAGACACAAAGAAGCCCCAGGCATGGAGGTTCATCACTCCCATTCCACAGGCACAGCCATTACACAACATCAGCTGGTCTGCTGTGCCTTTTTGGGAGGCCATTTTTGAAAAGTTGTCCCTTTGAATGCACAGAAGTCAGGAAATGCAAAATTAAGGTTCTCAGAGTAACCATAACTCACTCACAATGCACATCGAGGCATAAATTTCCCTGGAAGTACAACAACATAAAACATTGAGCACACCAGAGTGGGAGAAGTGAGGACTGTTGCTAAAGTCATAAATTTGAATTTCGTGACTTGGGTGCATTTTCACTGTCACCCATGACACTACATTAACATAGCATTCACACTAGAAATTGCGACATAATTCAGAGGCCTTCGTGCTTGTGACTGAGGTAGTTTTCTCTGTAGGGACCTCTTCTCAGACATTCATAAGGATTTCAAGGAAAAAAAAAAAACCTGAGAAGAAATATTAGTCCCTTGGGGAATGTAGCGAAATCTACCCAGCATAAAAGGATTAGCTACATTTATTTTCTAGCAAGCTCTGGAAGCAAGCAACCACTTCCCTTTCAAGGACTACATCCCTGAGAGAAGGTGGCTTACTCAATCCTTGCCATCATCTGAATCTTCCACTGGGTCTTGAGGGAGTGTGGGCTGTAGATGTCCTGCCTCCTCCCCTGGGACAGGAAGGGTCAAATAAATGGGTATCAAAAACGTCAGTGTATGCAAATTGATAACTTGTGTATTTACGGTGGCAATCCATTCAACGTTCCTGTAAGTTGTAGAAGTCAGAGTGAGAAATTCAGGGTCCTCAGGGTTCACAAACCATCAAAGACCCATAGGACCAAGGCACCTAGAACGAGTCACCACCTCAGTTCCAGCCCTCCTTCTACCTGGGTCCCGGTCCCCTGTAAAAGGAGGTCTAATGATAATAACACTTTCTTTTCATAGAGAGAGGAGACTATGGAAACTCTTATGGTCTTGTCTGCTCTGTGACCAAATATTCTTTGATCATAACGTCTAATCCTAATACCTTCCTGCACAGATGATATTCCAAGATTAGCATTTCCCCTAAAGGTTCCCAGTTTTTTACCTTGAGTGTCTCCTTGTCTCAGAGAAGGTACACGCTTCCTACACAGAGAGGTTGCTTATTTCTCCCTGGAAAGGAGCCTTTCCAAGGACTGTTAGCAATGGAGACAGTCTATAGGGTGTTCACTTGATCCTCATTGTACCTCCCCCTTGTCTTATTCTTCCTTCTATGGTTATTTTAAGGTTTAAACAACAACAACAAAAATGTATATAAAGTGCCTGACACCCAGTAGAGGCTCAACAAATGTCAGATTAGTTTAAGTTACTTTGCTAAGTAACTAGTGCCCTCCCTACCTGGATGGAGTGTTCCCTCGCACACTCTTCTCTAACCTCCCCACCTCTCCCCATACAGAACGTGGAGAGAGGATTGCCATGCTACACCTAGGGCTTCCTCTGCTCAGAACACAAGCTAACCCTTAGAGGGCTTCCAGAATATCACTGTGTAGCAGTCCCTCCAGTCCCTCTTGGACGTTGCCCCTTTCATTTCAGTAACCAGAACACAAAAGCCAGGCAAGATGTACCTTTGGTCTTCCTCGCTCTGTCCTCCCTCAGGAAAGTGCCTTTGGTTTCCATATTTCCCCCCATGGCTATCATACATCTGTACTTTACATGTAATAAAAAGCTGTGACAGCCGAATGCTAGTCTTTTCTCCAAGCTGCACCTGTCTGAGGACTGGGGCTGCTAAGTACATTATGAAGTCAAGGAGAGTTCAATCTCTGATAGCTCATCCATCACACATCTGCACATCACCAAAGCTCTGCAACCTTCCTTTTGCGGTGTTTGTCTGGTCCCCCCCACCCTTCCCATGTGCACTGCTCTGCCCTGAGACCACTCATGAGGGACTTACAGTTGGCCTTTTCCCCATCTAATCACATTCAAAGTTGTGACTCAAATGCTCTTCTTTAAATTTTTTTCTTTTCTTTCTTTCTCTTTCTTTCTTTCTTTCTTTCTTTCTTTCTTTCTTTCTTTCTTTCTTTTCTTTCTTTCTCGCTCTCTCTCTTTCTTTCTTTCTTTTTTTGTCATGATACAACGCTTAATCACAGCCTGGAAGAGACTTTATTTCCCCTCATGTCAAATCCTAACTCCTAATCAAGTTCTGCAAGGCTCTTCACTGGAGATAGTCTGTTCCCTGAAGACTGGGAAGTCTTGAAGTTAGAGGCAAGATCAAGGTGTGACTTAATAGTCAGTTTCAAACACTTAGGTACTTCTTATGTGAAGGATGTGTTTTTACTCAGGAGACATAATAAAAAGAAAGTTTAGCCATTTTGGTTAGAAAGAAAGAAAAAGAAAGAAAGAAGAAAAAGGAAGAAAGAAGGGTGTTTTGACTCTCAGATCTAGTGTATGTCCTGCCATCTCTACAAGGGTCTCTTAAATCTCTGGCTCTCCCCACTAAAATTTTCCTTCATTTGACCTTACAGCCCTTTTCTGCACCATTTATTTTAAATTAGTCTGCCACTTGGCTTTCTGACAGCTCTTGTATTGTTGCTTTGCACATCATTTACCTTGTTCGATATGTATGTCACACCTCTTCCAGGCATGGTATAATTTTTGTTTTATGAAATCTTTCCAAAGCATTTGAACTGCTGCTGACTCCCACAATTTCAAAGTTCCTTCCATTGAATGCATTCTCTGTGTACTTGGCCAATTGTCCTTAGGCCTCGATGACTGTTTCTTCTCATTCCTTCACCTACACTCTAAAAGTTTGTGCTCCTAAAGTGTCCCCTGATTAGTCAAAACTATTTTCTGATCTTACACAAGGAAAGTTTACATTTTGAGACTGTGGGTCTTTGGGAATCTGTGGACTGTTATAGACCATCTCTCCAAAGAATTGCACATACAAACAAACTTTGGCTTCTCTGAAGTCAGAAAAGAGACTCTCTAGGATGAAATGAATCCCAGGAAATGCGTGCCTGTTCTGACCCACTTTCTGGTTATCTCATTGAAACTACATGCTGTTGATTCCCACACTGTATCTTCCTACAAGATCTCCTTCTTATGCTTCAAACACTCAAATTGATCGACCTACTAAAATACGGTGTCTGACCCCTCTTCCTTATTAGTAAAATATTTTCCTTATACTTAAGGTAAATACTGTATCTTCCATATCTTAGCACTGTTTCTATACTGTAGGCCACAGAGACTTTATCCAATCCTTCTCTCTCATGGTAACCCTTCCCATATAAGAAGACAGCTATGACAAACCCAGCTGCTTTGGTCTCTCTTAAAATGAGTGTCTCCAGAACACTCATCTTTGTCTGAATGAGTAATGACTTGTCATTGTCCCTCTTAAAATTGGGACTTACAATGGATCACAATATTCCAGGTAGTTTTTGACAGCATAAAGTATCTATCATCTCCTTTGTTAACACACATAACATCTTAAAATTACTCTGGTTTTTCTCATTTGTGATTCATATTAAGATAGCAACTAGAAGTCCAAAATCTTTTCACAAATATTGCTGTTAAAAAACACATTTCTCACATCCTGTATTCTATGGTACAATTCTTTAAAAATTATCAGAATTCATCTTGGTTTCAACCTGGTATTCCAACAGCCAAAGTCATTTCTGAGTCTTTATTCAGTCATCCAGGCTAGTGCCAAAACCCTGGGGTGCAGGCCATTGGAAAAGCCTTCCATTTTTATACTGATTCACTGATATCTCAGTACTAGCAATGAGCTCCTCTAACTAAACTACAGTTAAAACCAATTTGTCAACAAACGTATAACGGAAGATTTTCCAAATAGCTGGAGGGAAAACATATACTGGAAGCAAATAGTCACTTGCTTATCAGTCAAGAGATTCTCTTCAGAAAAAAAAGAAATGACCCAGCTTGTTCTTAATGTTATTTCTACTATTACTGCTTCACATACACTGAAAACGTCAAACAACCATTCCTAGAATTTATCAAGAGAGTTATTACAAGCTCACCCAGAAACAGATCTCAGAAATTACCTCCCCACCATTTTTGACAATTCTGAAATTATTTGTCCATCCATCAGTCTTCTGGTACCATTCTTCTCATTCTTCATGTGTCCTCAGAAATGTGGTCAATGGTTTAAAATCCCACCTGCAAACATTAGGGGAGGCTGGCTGAATTGTGCCCAGGGCCACCCTGGACATTTCTTTGAGCCTTTCTATGGATCTATACTTACTTCACAATAAAAATATTTTTAAAAGAAGTCCCATCTGCAAAGTTCAGTATCGTAGGATATAATGTTTCTGAACCTAAAGATTTAGATATAGTTTAAAAGTTAGATACCTTTTGGGGCACTTGGGTGGCTCAGTCTGTTAAGGATCTGCCTTCAGCTCAGGTCATGATCTCAAGGACCTGGGATCAAACCCCATGTCTGGCTCCCTGCTCAGCAGGGGAGTCTGCTTCTCCCTCTCCTCTCAGCTCCTGCTCGCTTGTGCTCTCTGTCACTATCTTTGTCTCTCTCTCTCTCTCAAATAATAAATAAATAATCTTAAAAAAATAAAATAAAAGATGCCTTTTGTAGTAGCTCCCCTATTTTAGGCTTCAGTTTCTTCTTTATCATGTTTATTTTATTCTTTCTAGTCTGAAGACACTTTCTTCATTAGAGAAGAGTGAACCCTAAGGGAGTAGAACAGCTCAGTTTCCTGCCTGCCATCCATCCTCAGTGTACCATACCTACCTTTCCCTGTTCTTTGTTATCTGTTCATCACTAATTTTGGCTGTCCCATTTTCCAATCACTTTTCTCTTCCTCTGCGTTATCCTTTTGATTTTGTTCTTACCCAGTTTCCTGCCATTCTTTTGCATTTGTTCTTGACCGTGTGCTCACCCCTCTGCCTTTCAACTGCATACTTTAAAAATCTGATTTCATTTGAAACCTGCTTGGTGCAAAGTATACTGTGACACGCTTTTCAGGTGCTGTAAACTGCTAAACCAACATTATTATCACTAAGAAGAAAATTGCTTCTCTTTTATGACCATTTTAGTTACTCATGTGTAAAGGGTTTTCCTTTTATCTTCTGAGTTTAAAGTATTTATATACTAGAAAATTGCTCTGGCTTAAGTGGGGAAAGAGGGGATTTTAAAATTTTATCAGTGGGCCGGAAGATTTAAGACCTTGTGGAAATGGTATTGTTCCTCCAAAACTCCAAACTGCTCTGTCTAGGCCCTCTTAGAATCCTCTCCCCCTGAATTACACTTTTTCATGTGGATATACTTCTGACTTCATCATTCTCTCTCATTGGGGGCATGTGAAGCCCAGCTGGGATCCTTTCAAATGATTTCACTTGAAGTTGGATGTAACCTGTTAGAAACGATCCATCACCCCATCCCTTATTCTGGAGACTTCTTCCTTAGCCAGACTTCTCCTGCTATGGTTCCTACTGTAGAGTAATTTCTCCCAGACATTCAACTGAAATCACGTAGTTCCATCCATGTCACAGCTGGGATGCTGAATTCCTGACAAGGGATGCTAAGGAGAGGGTTAACGGAGAGTTTCGGATAGGCCTTTATCTGACCTCCTTAAAAGCGCAGTACTAGAAAAGTACAAATTAACACGTACCAAGAAAATACATTCAGTCAAATATAATCCCATCTGTACCTGCCAAAATCTTCACTCTGCTTTACCCACATC